TTAGCATGCACAAGGCCCTGGGTTCCATCCCCAGAGAGAGAAAATCTTTTTTTTTTTTTTGTAGATGGACATAACACAATGCTTTTATTTTTATGTGGTGCTGAGAATCGAACCCCCGGTTCTGCCTGTGCGAGGGGAATGCTCTACCGCTGAGCAACAATCCCAGCCCCTAACCTGTGCTCTTTTTAAATCTAAAAATAAGGCTTTAGGGCTGTGGTGTAGCTCAATGATACAGTGTGTCTTTAGCATGCACAAGGCCCTGGGTTCCATCCCCAGCACCACACAATAAACAAATAAATAAATGCAATACTTTGCTTTTGCTGTCTAATGAAAGAGGTGTTTGTATAGAGGAAGGCTTTTGACTAAGACCTGGCTTCAGTTCTACCCTCTGTCCACAGCTCCAAGTCTCAGGTCTCACAGTAACTGCCAGGAGCTGAACAGTCACAGGTTTGTTGTCGGCGTCAAATGCACAAAAGATATGAAAGTGCCTTACTACCAACAAGATATCTAAACACACAGAAATATATACAGGCTCGTTTTGAGGCCTCCATTAGTATCACACAATGCTAGCAATGCCAATTTATTTTAGTCTCCATGTATTAAAAACACAAATAATGACTTTTGTTCCCTCACAGACCTTTTGCTAGAATGTGGACTATTTATTTAATAACAAACATGACTAAATCATCTCCATTATGGTTATTTCAATATGTTTAAACCCAACYAGGCAGCAACTGAAAGTGCTGTCCATTTAATAGCCAAAATAATGGGGAACTGGTAATTTGGCTGTAATCTAACATCTGCTCCTACTGTGTACCATGCACAGCTCTCTAGATCCCAAGATTATAGCTCTAGATTCAAACTTTGCCTATTTCTGCCCCAAGACTAATGCTTCATTTATGAATGGAAATGTTAATTCTGAGCTGCTGATCCAAYAGAGTACCACCAGAGATCAACCATCTCTTCCACCGATAGATATGAGGGAAGACTCGGCCCTCCTGTACTACAAAGCTGTGTTTCTCCTATAAACTCCATTCAGACATTGAATGCATTTTATCTATATACCTGGCAGGAATCTAGAACTAAAATCACAAGATTTATTTCATTTTAATTCTATTATGAGGCATTTRATCACAAATACCCCCAAAATGAAAAGATAATTTATCATCTTGCCCTGACTGAGCAACTCTCCTCAGTTCACATTCATGAATCCATAATGCAGGGAGGAGACTGGATGATTAAGTGTCCGATTAGAGAAAACAGATTAACCTGGCAAACATAATAAATTTAGCTCATAAGCGGGATGGCTTTATAAATGCTCACAGTAACTCTCCTGTATAAAATCATGAACCACTTCCTTCAGTGATGACTCAATTGAAGTAGTTGAGGAGCATAATAAAATAAATGCATATTTATGGCTTTCTCTTTGAGACATTAACAAGGTATTGAAAGGCATATCAGATTCAGTTTATAACTCTAACTATATATTAAATAGGAAACCTGTAAGGAAAATATTAGCACATAAAAATAACAAAGTTATGACCTCCCAAACATTCTAGTTTCTACTTTGCCAAAATTGTGTTTGCCAACGATATCTAGATTTCAAATACTTTCCATGACTTTCTGGGCACTCTATGTTTCTAGAGTTACCAAAAACAGACCTCAAGTTTCAGATCATGCAAGTTTACCCATGATTTTCTTAATTGAACCCAATTCCTTAAAAAACAAACAAACAAACAAACAAACAAACAAAACAACCCAGCTGYATATTTAGATAGTTCTTATTATGAATAACACATAAAATCAGCTAGCTATATTAGCTTTTGAATCAGTAGGGGGGAAATCCTTTTAACTGAAATTCCATTTACATCACAATAAAAACCTAGAGCTAAAATATAGTGTACTGTGTATTTCTGATGAGTGTATTCTAACATTTCTAGGTGCAACAAGATAGGTAATCTTTGCAACCCTGGTGCCTAGCACATGGTATCATGAAGGTTAGTTGGTTCAAGTGGCTGGGAGGAAATAGTTAAAGAGCTCTGCAGTGCCCCAAAAGGTCCACTTAAGACTCTAYCAAGGCTTCCTTACTTAGCTGGTTAGTATTTCTGGCCTTTGTCGTCTTCGAAGACGTCTTTTTGTTGTTGTTCTAATCAGTGAGTAAAAGGATACTCTCCACGCCCAGCTTTATTTTTAAACTTACAGGGCTGTATTCCTGGAGACCTCTGCTGGCCTACCTGGCTTGGAAGAGTCAGTTAGGCCCTGCTTTGTCACATGAATCTGAGTCACGCTGAATAAGGGACTTGCTCTGCTCATCTGTCTAGAACTAGGATCCTTTTCAGGGACAGGGCAGGGCAAGGGCAGGGTAGGCGGGGAGGGGAATGAGCTTCTTGAGAGAATTTGGTCTTTAATAAAGAACCCATCCTATCCAGAGCCAGGTAAATTTCCCACTGGGGGAAACCAGTACCAGGAGGCCCAGCGGGGGGGCTACTCATGCTTTTTCCAACGATCTTCTTGCTTCTCCTTGCTTCTGTAAACCTTGGGCCTGGGAATGGTGACAGGGAGGAATCCAAAAGAAATTTGGCTTTTGTGTATCCTCGGTCCTGGATGCTTTCTTGGAGTGCAGGGACCAGGATCTCTTCCTCCCTGGAGGAATTCATGTAGAGCTAGAACAGGGTGTAATGTGAATTGCTGATGAGGGTATACTAACGTGTCTAGATTCAACTAGATGGGTTACCTTTATAACAGAAGCGCCTAGCACAGCGCCTGGTATCATGAAAGTTAGTTGCAGAAAGATCCAAGTGGCTGGCCGGGATGGGATGTGCTCTGAGCGCAGGATTCCTGTGGTTCTTTGTGCATGGGGCGTGCGATGTCTTTGCTTTTGGGTCGAGGCGGGTGCAGCGTGTGCAGCGTGTGCAGCGTGTGCAGCGTGTGCAGCGTGTGCAGCGTGTGCAGCGTGTGTATGGAGGTGGGTATAAATAAAGGATCAAACTCAGATGAACCCGCAGGCCCGAGGGCTGGGGCTCCGGGCGGGGAGGGGCGGACCTCTGGAGGCCGTGCCCCCACCTCGGGGGCGGAGCCGACGGCTCTGAGCGTGAAGCGTGGGGCGCGTGCGCTGCTGCGTCCCGAACGCAGTGCCTAGCGCTCCTGGCGCCCGCGGAAGGGCTGGCGTTGGCGCTGGTGGCAGGCCGGTGGCAGGCCAGTGGTGGCAGGCCGGTGGCAGGCCAGTGGTGGCAGGCTGGTGGCAGGCCAGTGGGGGTCCACCGCTACGGCCTCTTCCGGGTACTGATGGAGTCGTCCCGGATTCTCTAGGAGGAGGGTCCGCAACTGCGAGCCAGGGAGAACCCGGGACATCAGCACCTGCTGCCGCGTGAGGGGAGACCCCRGGCTTGAGAGTGAGGTGTGCTGGCGAAGGGAAGGAGGACCTCTAGATGCCCGGGAACCTCTTTCACAAGAGGAAAAGCTCAGAGGGTTAGAGAGCATCTGATCTAATTCATCCCCGTCCCCTTCCCCAAATGAAGGCACTGAGTCCGCAGGGGTTGGGGGTAGAGACTTGCTTCCTCCACCGAGGAGGCTATTAAGTGGCAGAACTGAGACTAGAAGCAGTCTTCTTATCAAGGCTTTTCACACCTACTATCCTTCACTGAAATGAATATGAATAGTAGTACTAGTGGTCAAGATTATCTTAGCATTTGATGGTGCTATTTGGCATTCAGGATTATGAATATGACTCATGTAATGGGAAAATTCAGCCACTTGTGACCTCCCTGAGCTTGAGTTTCTTATTCCTCCATTTATGAAACATTAGCTTGGTAGTTTGTGTTTGTGCCAAACACTCTGCCACGAATTGAGAGTCTAGAGATGAACAAGAACCAGCCTTCCATATGGGGCAGAAGAGAAAATTCCCCAGACACCAGTTACTGACACAGGTGTAGGAAGTGGGATGGGCCGTTGGAGAGAATGCTGTATAGAAAATCAAAAGGAGATGTCTTTCTGGCTGATTGGAGAAAGACCTAAGGGAAGAGGTGGCATCTGATCTGGATCTTTGCTTGGGGACATTTGGAAGTGGGAATTTTAGGTAGAAGGTTAAATGTTAGCAAAACAAGCAAAATCCCAAAACAAATCCAGCATCAGAAACAGCAGCCATCACCTCCAGATGTGTGTGTGGGAAAATGGTTTGATTTACCTAGAATATAGGATGCATAGAGGCCAAAATTATGAAGAAAACAAAACTGGGAGTCAGTGATGGGGAGCTTTGGAAGATTCCAAGCAGAACATGTTGGTGGTGCTRTTGCTGAGGATAGTTAATTTACCCTGGAGTGGAACTCAGCAGTAGAGTGAGATTGTTGGACCAAGGATCCATGTAGCTGTGAGGGTCTGAGATGCACCAGTCTGGTAGCACAGGGCTTCAAGGAAGCACTTCAGTGTAGCAGTATTATAGAGAATTCAGCTGAAATGGGAAAGGGTCCAAATCACATCAGGAGGCTGAGAGTTCCACTCTGTCCCTGACTATACAGGAAACACTTATTTCTTTTGATGCATCCCCAGGGACCAAGATGGAGCTATAAACAGAGCAGCCTGTTTTGGCAATGGAAATGGGAAAKTTCTGCTACAAAGATGAAAGTCTTACCCTCATACTACTATATTATAACCGAGTCATGCAGTTCTGTGCAAATGAACTGTTAAATTGAAACATCTTTACCTTAAAGGTGACACAGAGATTGTAGTAGGGAACTTTTTAAATGCATCTTTAATTGGTTCTGTGTTATCTCAAACTTATAAAGAACCATATTACACATCTGTGCCTGAATGAAATTGATAGATGAGGTCCAGGTAAATCACATTAGACAAGCACACAAGTTATAGCCATTTGCCTAAGGTTTGAGTCTAGGAACTTTATAGATGCTTCTTGCTCCACCTTGACACTTCCTGGGCAGGAGAGATGCAGGGATTCCCTAGCAATACTCCACTTCCCATTACTCATTGGTTGTGCATATAAATGTTTATGTGAAATAYATATTTATGTGCTTTTACAGCTTCTCCGTCTAATAGGTGTTTGAAAGAAGGGAAAAGATGAAATGTTATTTAGTTATTCCTTTGATTAATGATATTAATCAATGGTATAAAAAAAGGAGTATGAAGTCTGAAGTATGAAGACCTAAAATTAAATTCTAGTTTTGTTACTTTCTACCTGAGTGACATTAGGTCTGGCATGTAACTCATCAGAGACTCTATTTGTTTCCTCATCTGTAAAATAGTGATCATAATAATTAGCTCACAATTGTTAACAAGTCACCACTAGAATTCTCCCTTTTACCTTTTTATAGACACACCATGTTCTTCCATCACTTCCATAGCCCCTGACAACCATGATCCATTCTCTATTTTTATAACTTTGGCATTTCAGGGTTGTTACATATCAGGGGATTATGAAGTATGCCCCCCATTCAGCATACTTCTCTGGAGATTCATTCAGATTTTGCATATATCAATAATTGTTACAGGTTATGGAGAGCTGGGATGTGGCTCAATGTTGGAATGCTTGCCCAATATATTGAAGGCCCTTGTTTCAATCCATAGCACTGAAAAAAGAAATGTTGCATTTTGTTCCATACTATACCTCAGCACAGTTTTCTTTTCTTTTTTTTGACACATACTAATTGTACATATTATTGAGGTTCAGTTTAATATTCCATGTATACATATGGAATATAAACACATGCATATAATGTACACCACCCTTTTTATACCCTCCTCACTTTCTTCTTCCTAATCTCTAGTAATTACTAYTCTACTTYCAAATTGACTTTTTTTTTCTTTCCTCCCACATTTTAGAGAAAATGTGGTACTTATCTTTCTGTGCCTGGCTTATTATTTTTCCTCCTTCTCCTTTTCCTTCTCCTTCTCTTTCTCTTACTTCTTCTTCTTCTTCCTCCTCCTCCTCCTCCCATACCTTCTAGCTCCTCCTCCTCTTTGTTGAGTTTTTTGACTTCCTTATATATATATTCTGACAACCCCTTGTCAGATGTATAGTTTGCAATATTTTTCCCATTCTGTTGGTTGTTTCCCCACAATGTTGATTGTTTCATTTGCTGTGGGAAAGCTTGTTAGTTGATTTAATCTCATTTGTCTATTTTTGCTTTTGTTTCCTATGCTTTGGTGGTTCCATTCAGAAAATCATTGCCTGAACCAATGCCTTAAAGTATTTTCCCTATTTCTTCCTAGTAGTTTCACGATTTCAGTTCTTACACATTTAGGTCTTTGATCCATTTGTAACTGATTTTTGTATAGGGTGGGAGATAGGTATTAAGTTTCAGTCTTAGGTATCAAGTTTCAGTCTTGGATAACCAATTTTTCAAACACCATTTATGAAAGAGACTGTTCTTTCTCAAATGTGTGTTTTTGACACCTTTGTTGAGAATCATTTGGCTGCAAATGTATGGGTTTATTTCTGGGATTTCTGTTCTGGTCCATTGATCTGTACTTGTACTTCTCTTTTTATGTCAATATCATACTGTTTTTGTTACTGTGACTCTGTAGTATTTCTTGAAATCTGGTGGTGTTAACAACAACAACAACAACAACAAAAAACCAACCAAACAAACAAAAAAAAAACAGCTATTGTGATGCCTTGATCTGTTTTCTAAAGATTGCATTGGCTGTTGATGGTCTTTTGTGCTTTCATATAAATTTAAAGATGGTTTTCTCTAGTTCTTTGAAGAATGTCATTAATATTTTGATGGTGTTGCATTGAATCTGTAGGTCACTTTGGGTTGTATAGGTATTTTAATAATATTAATTCTTTCAATGAACATGGAAGGTCTTTCCATCTTTTTGTGTCTTCGATTTCTTTCATCAGTGTTTTGTAATTTTCATTGTAGGGGCCTTTCACTTCCTTAATTAAGTCTATTCCTAAGTGCTTTTTGTGGTTATTTCTTTCATGGTTTCATTTTTTGTAAGTTTGTTATCAGTGTATAGAAAACCCACAAATTTTCGTATGTTGATTTTGGATCCTGCTACTTTCCTTAATTTTTTTGGTCAATTCTAATAGTCTTCTAGTGGTTTTTAAAGGTGTGTGTGTATAATATTTAAATATGTATTTGTATATGTAAATAATACAAACAAGGATATTTGATTTCCTTCGTATTTGTATGCCTTTTATTTCTTTCTCTGGCCTAATTGTTTTATAACTATTACTATATTGAATAATAGAGGTGAGAGTAGACACAGATTTTTGTTGGTTAGTCAAGTCAAAGGTTTCGAAATTTTGTTTATCTTTTCAAAGAACCCTCTCATTTATTGATCTTTTAGACTTTTTTAGTCTCTATTTAGTTTATTTCTACTCTGATCTTTGTTATTTATTTTCTTATACTAATTTTGGGTTTGGTTTGTTGTTGTTTTTTTAAGTCCTTGAGATACTTCATTAGGGTGCTTATGTGAAATCTTTCAATTTTTTGAAGCAGATGCTCATTGCTATAAACTTCTCTCATAGTACTGCTTTTGCTACCACCCACAAGTTTGGCTTTGTTGTGCCATTTTTGTTTTGAGAAAATTTTAAAATTTTTCTCTAACTTCCTCAATGGCCAACTGCTTGTTCAAAAGTTTATTGTTCAGTCTCCATGCCCTTATATAATTTCTAAAATTTCTTTTGTTTTTGACTTCTAGTTATGTTCAGTTGTAATTAAAAAAGATACACGATATGATTGCATTTAAAAAATTTGTTAATGTTTGTTTTGTAACCTAATATATGGTATAGTCTAGAGAAGGTTCTATAAACTGTTAAAAAAATTGTGTATTCTGCAGCTGTTGGATTAAGTGCCTGCCCATTTGATTTGTGGTGTACTTTAACTGATGTTTCATTGTTGATTTTTTGTTTGTTTTTTGGTCTGTGTGAGCAGACCATTGATGAAAGCAGAGTGTTGAACTCTCCCACTATTGTTGTATTACAGATTAATGCTCATTTTAGGTCTATCAGTGTTTGTTTTATAAAATGGGTGCTCCAAAATTAGGTGTGTATTAATTTATAATTGTTGTATCTTACTCTTATTAACTTGACTTGGCGAACATTATATTGTGATCTCCTTTGTCTCATCTAACAGCTTGTGTCTTAAAGTTTATTTTGTCAGATATAAGTATAGCTACTCTTGCCCATTTTAGGCTTCCCTTTGTTTGGAATATAGTTTTCTATACTTTCAGTCTATGTATCTTTGCTGGTCAGGAATGTTTTTTTGTAGGCAGCATATTGTTGGACACTTTTTWTAACAATTCAACAAGCCTGTATATTTTATTGGAGAATTTCATCCATTTATATTTAAGGTTATTTTTGGTGGATAAGGACTGATATATCATTTTGTTGATTTTCTTCTAGGTATTTTATTTATTCTTTGTTTTTTTCCTTCCTCTAGTTCATTTCTATGATTTGGTAATTTATTGCATTGATAATGTTTGATTCCTTTCTCTTTCTCTTTTGCAGTCAATCTTTTAGTAGGATTTGTTCTTTCTCATATGTTCATGATGGTAGGTGTCTTTCTTTTTTGGATGTAGGACTCCCTTAAACATTTTCTATAAGGCTGGTCTGGTGGTCACAAATTCCCTCAGTTTATGCTTATCTTAGAAGGTCTTTATTTCTCCTGAATTTCTGAGGTAAAGCCTCAGTTGGATAGAAATTTTGGTTGTAGTTATTTGCCGCAGTCTGGCTGGGCACAAATCACGAGCCACTGAAGCAGGAACAAACTTTATTTCTGAACTCCACCAGCACACTCCACACACGCTCCCTGGGAGTTCTCCTGAACCACGCGGCTCGTCCAACCTGCAGCCAGAAATATCCCTCCTCCAGCACTTCTCCAACCAATGGGAACTCTCTGGGAATCCCCAGGGAGAGCTCAACTGGAACTCAACYGGAACTCGCTGGCGTCACCTCTCAACCACTACTTCTGGCAAAAATGCGATGCGTCATCCCAGCTGTGGCCCTCAACAGTTATTTTCTTTCAGTCCTTGGAATATGTCATTCTATTCCCTCATAGCACTGGGATCCCAGGAAACCTCAGTAGCAATAGCAACTAAGGAAGGGGTAGTTGTACTCTTTCTGATTACACACAGACACTGTTTCTTTTTACATTTTACATTTTTGTGGGTCTGATATTTGGTTGGATTCAAGGTCCCTGCTGCTAAAACAAGTTTGGAGACCATTGGATTAGATGGAATCTGAAGTCTCATTTTGCAATAACTTGTAATTCTAAGAGAAGAGTGTCAAAACCCACTTATCCCCTAACACATTACCCTTCAGGCTCCTCCCTTTGTTTTCTGGAGGAATATCTTATGTGAAATGTTTTCCTTGTTATCTCTTTTTATAAATATGATAGACTTTGTGTAATCAATTAACTTACACTTCATAAATCAGAAATGGAAAATGTGTTAAATAGATTAAAATTTTGTGGTAGAATTGTCTATCTCATAGAATTATCAATTGTGGTTAGAAGAGGGGAAAAGGGACCAAAATAACATATCAGTCATGAGCCAATCTCAAGCTTTGCAGATAACTACCTCTCCCTTACCGTCACCTGTCCAGCTCTTGCCAGTTTTCATAAAGCCTTGTCTCCACTTTTAACCAGTTCACCAAGAGTTAGTTTCTTTCAACAGATATTTGAGATAAGTTAGTCAGCTCTATATTCTTATGCTTATCTTCAAAATGAGGAAACTGAGAATGGGTCTGAGTAACCTGCCCAAAATTATAGAACTGACAAAGAACAAGTAGAAGATGGAAAGAAAAGCTCACATTATTAACCCCTAGCCCAGTTATTTTCCCTTTCTATTTTATAATATAAGTGTCTCAATGGGTATTTTCCAAAGTTGGCATTTGCTATGGTACCTTTTATCTGTAAAATTGGGTAATGATATAATAAATAGTTGTGAGCATTTTTTTTTCATTTAATTAGGGTTAATTGAGATGGTGCACTTAAAAAAGGAAGTTGTATTACAAAGTGCTCCCTGTTCAAATGGTGGTTATTATTATAAGTTCAGCTATAATAGATCCCAAATTCCAGTAGGGAGCTGTGTGTGCTTGTTGATTCCTATTCATGGGAAATATATTTGTTTATGTCATGGTATATTATCTATTTTCCTTTTATTCCCCACGTGGCCAAATTGTGAACTGTCAAATTAATAAGACTCAGTCATATTTGTGACGGTGGATAGACTTAATGGTTTCTATAAAGGGGTTTTAATAGTTATTTTTCAACAGATGGACAGCTTACATTTGGCCACGTTTCTGTAACAGTGTGATGATTGAAGTTTTCAACAGATGGCACACAAATACTTGGGAAAACACCCTTCCAATATTAATTGCTGTATAAAAGACTTTTAGAGTGCCAAAAAAAAAAAAGAAAGAAAGAAAGAAAGAAAATCTGCATTCCCAAGTCCTTAGCCTATGCTATTATAATCATAATCTAGATGATTTGGAAGTTTCCATTTCTGGCACTTGAATTTATTTTGTAAATGAGTGTACATGTCTGCATTAGAGTGAGATGATGAGGAATACTCTGTTGACATTTAGAAATTCAACATGCATACAATATTAAATCTTCCTCTGATTGTGGATGGATGGATGTAACTTTCTTTTGCTGAGTTATTTTACTTCTGTGCCATACATAGAAAATGTATCCTTCATAAAAATCAGCTGTCAGAGACTTATATGTTTTTTTCAAAGAGTATTGACTTAGAAGGAGATAAAAACCTCACCAACTTAGAATTTTCAGACTGATTCATCCATATGATAAACCACCCAACCTTCTAAGTTGTCCTGCTTGTACTGAGAACCACCTTGCTCTGCTTCCTCTTCTCCTTGATTTTACTTTGCTGAATACAAAAGGCTAAAAGACTTCTGATCTTATGCTCAGGAATCCTGACGTTTCATGCTAAGTGCCAGCATATAGAAACTTTGTAGTATTTTTTAGTGAACTCATAGATTGAGTATTTACACAGTAAAACAAATATATGCAGCATTTACTTTCTATTCCTCCTTTCTCTTCCAAATAAAACATATTTTAATACTTAATATTTTTTATTTTGCATATAAGTAATTTATATTATTCATGAATTTAAGGAGAGAATTATWAAAAAAATTTGAGTTGCTGAAATTGATCAGGATGAGAAAAGCATTACTATAGAAAATAAGAGCAGAAAAATTTGTTTGCCACTTGCACATATAATTCAGTGTTGGTGTCATTTCAAGAGAAGCACAGTGGCATGGGTCTAAGTCTTTAATAAGGAATACAGTCTTGATAAATTCTGTGCCCTCCATTTCTGTTAAAGTCATGAACTGATTCTCTTTTGGCCATTTTTATCAGCTAGATCATCCTTGTGACTGTGCTTTCAGATGGCGCTTAATGGGTGCTTCAGTTTGGACTACCATGGCAACCCCCACCCAGGGGACTTGATTGAAGTGTTCCGTCCTGGCTATCAGCACTGGGCGCTGTACTTGGGTGATGGTTATGTAATCAACATAGCACCTGTAGGTAAGGTTTATTTCTAGTAGCTCCTAGAGTTTTTTAGTTTTCTTATAAGAAGAAATCATAAACAAAATCATAAAACAGATATAATGTAGAAAGTAAATAAATCAAGCTAATCTAGATTTAGGAAGGACATTCTAAGGGAAGCACATTGTCATTGAAGAAATCAAGAAATCACAAAGGCCAATTGATGTTAAAATGTAAAGCCTCTATACTAAAAAAAAAAAATCACAATTAAAGAAAAAATAACCATCTGGGGATGGTTATTTATTAGTCATGCTCAAACATGACTAAGTTCAATATCCTTATAACATATTTTAATACTTAATATTTTTTATTTTGCATATAAGTAATTTATATTATTCATGAATTTGTGGATTTAAGGGGAGAATTAAAAAAATTTGAGTTGCTCAAATTGATCAGGATGAGGAAAGCATTACTGTAGAAAATAATACAAATTATTATTTTGCTACAGAATATTTATATAACACAAGTAGATGATTCAACACCTATTCATAGATTATTTAGTATGTGCTGAATACTGTTAGATATGTAGACATCTCCTTGCATGGTAAAGCTTATATTTTGAGAGAGAGAGAGAGAGAGAGAGAGAGAGAGAGAGAGAGAGAGAGACCCCCCAAAACAAATTACAGTAGTAAATGTTAGAAGGGAGATAAGTGATATAGAAAAAAATCAGTCAAATAGATGGAATAAGAAGTGCCAAAGGCAGGGAGATGGAGGTGAGGTGTTGTGATTTTAAATAAAGGGGTCAGGAAAAATTCATAAAAAGTACTGTTTGAGGAAAAACTTGAAGGAGGTGAGAAAACAAGTCAGATTCTATCTGGGGAAATGATAATCTAGGCTGAGAGGACAGCAAATCCYCAAATCCCAACAAACAAATGGACGAAGAATTGTGAACAGTTTGTAAAACAAGAACAAAAACTAACACACATTTTTAAAAATTTCAACTTTGTAGTCATCTACAAATTGTAAAATAAAACAAAGACAGATTGCATGCCTGTTTCAGTAGCAAAGGATAAAAAGTGATAGCAATCAGTGTTGATAAGGGAATAGCGAAATGAACACAAAGATATTGTTGATGGAAATGTAAACTGATAGTGTCAGTCACAGAAGCAATTTAGTACGAATTAAGTCTTTAGAGTTCATATTCTSTGACTCTAATTGTACTTCCAAGAAATAGTTCTGGGGAACTATTTAGAAATATGTACAAATACTTCTGCATTAGGGCCTTTACTTATCCCTCATTTATAATGGTTTAAAAAAATCGACACTGGCTTAAYGTTCAATAGGGGAACAGTTATACAAATTATTATTTAGCTACAGAGTATTTAGTATCTGTATTTCAGAATTATTTATTTGCATGTAATAAAACTAGAATTAGCTTAAGTAAAAAGGTAAAAAGGCAAAGCCATTGCTTCACTGAAGGGAACTGCACAAAGGATAGAGGTGATGCTGGTCTCAGAGGTGTCTAATGTAGGATGTGAACACAATTAGGACTCTTGGACTCATATCTGCATTCTTTTTCCTATGCCTTCATTCTCCCAGGCTTTGTCTCTCTAACAAACTGAGGATGAAGAGCAGTCTGAGGCTCTCATTTTATAAAGTCTATAACTTAATAGGAAAGAGCCCTGCCTGTTGTAATTCTAAATGGTCCACTCTGAGTCCCATACCTATGCCTGGACCATCACCTTGCCCAGAACAACAGGATACTATGGTTAGCTCAGACAGAATCATCCAGTAAGAAACAGGCAGTGATGGGACAAGGAGCTGGGTAGATTAAAAACAACAGCCAATATAGCAGTCATTAAAAAAATAATAATAATAACCTGGACCTGTTTAACTGCATGGGAAACAGTATTGATAAAATATTTATTTGAAAAATGAAGATTAAAATGCAATAAACAATATCATACTTGGTTTTCAAAAGAATAACTTGTATAAATACATACATATGCATGTACCTATACATGTGTTAGTAAGAGACATTCATAAAGGTACATCAAAGTGTTAATGGTTGTTATTTCTGGGTGATGGGATGAGTAATTTCTATTTAAAACTTAATGCTTTATTTTTCTGTATTTTCTAAACAGTTAATGAGCACAAATTTATTAGGACTAATATATGCAAATAATATGGAATACTTTTTTAAAAGATATCTTTAAAGATAAGTGTGTGTAGGCCTGAGTCTAACTATCACGGGAAGTTCTGAGAATTTTAATGAAATGTTTTTTACAACATTTTGAGTTATTTTCTTTTTGTTCCAAAATATTGTAAGTGGAAATAGCAAATAAAATGACATTTACAATTCACAGCTGCTAATTTCCAAAGTCTGGTGATTAACACTAAGTAGCCTCACACATCTACATTATCTCTACAGTTTTCACATTGGAAAATAATGTGAGCTGTTTTCTTATTTTCCACTATGAAATTCCATATTAATGTTTTCMCTTTAAGGTCCATATTAACATGGTTCAAGTAGTGAGATTTGATCCTGTAGAGTAAAATTTAATTTCCATTTCACTTATTAACTACTGTGATATTTTCTGAGTCAGTTTATCTCTCTGAGCTTCAATTTCCTGATTTTTTGCATCAGGCTAGTAAAAAATTTAGTAATTTTAACTATGATAAATATGCTTGTAATGTGTAAAACTTTCAGTGTATAAAGTTAACTTAGAATACTACTCTGTTGGGAAGGAGAATAGACAGAGGATAATGGAAAAGAAAGTTTGCTTTTAATTATTAATAAGGGAGAAATTTTCTAAATTCAGATTATATGGACACTTTTCCTCTCATGAGTCACCTGGACATGGCCAGGCATAGCAGTCATAGGCAGTTTGAGAGAGACCAGAGCCTGCCATTAGACTTTGGCCCTGAGGAATTGCCTGTTCAGCCACAAGAACTCATAGTGATAGGTCTGAACACAAAGATTCCTGGCAGCCTCTGTGTGTGTGCTTACTAAGAGAGGCAGCTGTGGTGGAGAGGCAGGGCACAGATCCTGTAACATAGGATAGGACACCACAGGGGCCAGGTCTGGGGTATTGTATCTACTGAGGTTAGCTTTAGTTTCAGAACTTAGTTTCTTGGCCAAAGGAATTGGAAAGAGAAAAGCAGGGTCTGATCCTGATCCAAGTTGTCTCTCACAGGACTGGGTTACCATACAAGTTTCAAAATAGGAAATAGGGCCCCATATTGAAGTTTAGTTTAAGGAACAAACATGAAGAGGTGATCCCATAAGGAAGGCAGCTTAGGTGCTAAAGACAAGCCTCCTAATCACAGTGCACTACTGCTAAGCCTCAATTAGTTGGCTTAAGGGTTTAGATGCTGAGAAAGAAACTGCGTGATAGAAAAGGTGAGCAATAATCTTATTTGTACTGTGTTAGAAACACATAACCAAGATGTTTAATAACACCAATCTATAGAGAACTTATTTCCCAAGAATAGGTAGGATGCTCTCACCCAATTTGTTCTATGGGAAAAAAATCAAGATCTCAGAATAATTTTCATACATTCCTAGTCATATGGTATGAGCATTATTGATAACASAGAGTGAGAGCTATGTCTAAGATTAAATGGGCTATTATTTAATGGTATGTAAGGAGCAGAGCTAAGTCTAAGCATTCTAGCATTTCCAAAGTCTTTAAATGGCAGTGGAGTTCACTAGACTGGGTCACTAAACCTTGCTAACCAGAATTGTCCTTATAGATGGCATTCCTTCAGCATTTACGAGTGCCAAGTCTGTGTTCAGCACAAAGGCGCTGGTGAAGATGCAGCTCTTGAAGGATGTGGTAGGAAATGACAAATACCGAATAAACAACAAATATGATGAAACGCACCCCCCTCTCCCTGTGGATGAAGTCATGCAGCGGTCAGAGTTTGTTATTGGACAAGAGGTGGCATATGACTTACTGGTCAACAACTGTGAGCATTTTGTGACTTTGCTTCGCTATGGAGAAGGGGTTTCAGAGCAGGTGAGTTTTCTTTAGGGGACACAAGAAGTTTCTTACCTTGAGAACATAGTAACTGTTTGCCATGATAAAAGTCTCAGGCAACAGAGAAAAGGGAAAAATATGAAAATACTGAAGGACAGAGAAGGAAATTGAGTTGTCCAGGGTCATGTAAGCAAGTCAATGATCAAGCTGAGACTAAAAGGGGGACATCATGAATTTTGAGCTGGAAGGGACTTAATGTAGAATGGAGACCATATCTTTCTGTTAGTCTTCCTGCCTTCTGTTCTCCACACTTTCCTTATTACCCCACCATGCAGCTGTCTCAAATCAATAACCTCATGTGCTAAAGAGACTATACTGAAAACAATGCTGGCTTTGCTGGCTGCATCTGCCACAGAGATGGTCATGCTGAGATTCTTTTCCAGTGGCCAACTGATAACATGCCTTGATGGGTTTATAAATGTTTTGTATTTCCTTGCATTGTTAGTTTTCAATGCAATTTTGTGCTTTTTAAGTAGATCCTTTGAATCATCAAGCCTTTCAAGTCCTTTAACAGATTAACTTTAAGTACTTTGTAATTTTGGCAGTCATCATCACTATTGTATAGTATAGCTGACCCCCAGCTAACCACATGGTTACTTTAGTTGCCCTTTCCCTACTTGCTCTGCTGCCAATTCGGTTTCATAGTTGATGTTTTAGCCCAAAGATTTATTAAGGTGATAAAAGAGAATGAATACATAAAACTGTTACAAGAGGAAGTTCTCTTCACCCAAAATACATATAAAAGTGTTCATTTTTTAAATTACAATAACAAAAATAGCTTCATACCTATTAAACTCCAGGGAGTTGTCACCTGTAAAAACTTTAAAAAGAAGACTAAAAGTTCAAAGAATAACTGTACAATTTCAATAATATTCTAAGAACTCAAATTTATTAAAGGCTTCTAGTATTTTAAAATGGTGGATCAATTATATAAACTTCTAAGAAATGAGGTTTAATTCTTCTCACAAAAGCTTGGAAAAGTTGGAGATAGAACATAATGAAAGGATGCATTTGTTTTCATTAGAAAATAATATAATTGGAAATTCATTCTCATTAGGAAGTACATTAACATAATGAATGTTCTATTCACATGGAATGATCAGTTGCTTTTGAGCCACAACACAGAGGACACACACAAATTCCTCTTCACCTTTTGCATTGAAAACGAGTATAGATAGGAGACAGTTTCCATTCCTCATCTTTGTTAATGATAAAGTTGTTCACTGCACTTAGCAAGTGATTTTTATTTATTTATTTTTTGAATCTTTAGAAATGGGGAGGTATTAGTCACAGGGCACAAATTTCAGTTATATCTAAATTAGTTCAGAGATATATTATACAACAGTGCAAATGATTAACAGTACTGTGTTTGTTGTATACTCAAAATTTTGCTAAGATGATACATCTTATGTTAAGGGCTTTTGCCATGAAAGGAGAAGAACCACCCCAAAACAACAAAGAACAAAACAATACAATAAAGTCCAGCAAAGGTAATGGGAGAAACTTGGAGGTAATGGATAAGCTTATGGCATTGATTGTGATGATGATTTCCTGGGTGTATACTTCTTTCCAAACATATCTACTTGTATACATTTTGTTTGTGGATATTTGTGTCTGTAGACTTTTTGCATGTTGATCATACTTCAATAAGGTAAAAAAGTGACATTAAATAAAAAGTAGTTAAAATCATGTTATTGCTTTGATTCAAACTTGTAATCCATCATCTTTTCATCTTTCATACCCAGACTTAATACCCATGAAAAACAAACTGCTCCTCATTCAGTGGTAGATCTTKGCTCCTGCATGTTCTAATGACAGTGGTGCAGTGACAGCCTTAGGAGCCTCCCTGACTGCTAGTGTTCTGCTGATGTGAGCAGGAACCCAATCTTTACCACTTAGCTAGGCGACCTAGGGTGCATTATCTATCTTATACTCTCTACAATGAGGTTGTTTTAAAAGATCTGGGACATATTTGAGGTCTCTTAGCATACTGTGTTATGCATTATTTATCCTGATGAACAGCATGCCAACAATGGATATTTTAATTATGTTTATTTTAGAATATTTTTATATCTTTGTTATATCCAATAAAATCCCCATCAGAAACTGCAGAACTTGGATTACTCATTAATAATTAACATCATTACTATTAAATAATAGCTAGTGCTAATATTATTACTAAATAATGGCTAGTATTAGGTTAGCTTTTTTGGATCCCCTTAAGGCTTAGGGGCCTTGAATTTAGAAACATTTTCTTAGAAAATGGCTATGTAATTCTACAATTTAAAAAGTTAAAAATGCACAAAAATTATAAGAAGGGTGGAAGGATGTCATCCCATCCTCCTTTTTCTTTGTTTTTCTGTATTTTTTTAAAAAAATCAAATGACAGTTTTTTAGAGCAGTTTTTAGGATCACAGTGAAATCAAGCTGAGTTCTCTCCTCTTTCTTTAAACATACATTCTCCTTCACCATCAACATCTCATATCTTATTTCTTAAAACTGCCAAACTGTCTTCCAAGGTGGTCATACCATTTTGCATTCCCCTTCAGAATGAATGGGAGCTCCCTTGTTCCACATCCTCACCAGCATTTTATTATTGTTTTAATTTGTAGCTAACTGATATGTCTGATACCTTTTCATATGCTTTTTTTGCAAAATACAGATCATCTTTGGTGATATGTCTCTTGATGTGCCTTTTCCCTATTTTCTAATAGGGTTGTTCATTTTCCAATTGAATTTTAAGAGTTCTTTGCGTATTTTAGATAACAATCCTTTGTCAAATTTTATGATGCAAATGTTTTCTCTTATTCTATGGCTTTTTTCTGTGTTTTCCAAAAATTTAAAAAACAATGTTTTTTAATGTTATAGTCCCAACAAATTAATAATCCATCACATCTCAGATATTCATTTCTATATAGGATAGTGGGTCACGATGGGTTAAGATGTGTCTGTCTTTGTATAAGGTAGCCACATACTTGAATAAACCTGATGACAACACATGATGACACCCTGCCTGTGCTTCAATGCACCACTGGAGCCTTCGGGTCTCAGAAAGGAGACATTTGATATACCCTGTAGTCATCTGTGACCCTGCTATGCTGATATCTGTACACAGCCACTCCAGATTAGCTAATGTTTCAGTGGGCAGGCACGGATCCCCAGAATGAGGCCTTTATTAATGGCCCACAGACAGAGGCCTCCAGATATAAAGTCTGCAGAGTCACATTTGGTGATCTTACAACCCTAAGTGAGCCATGAAATAAAGAGCTCCCATGCATGCTGCTTCACCAAGAATATCCTCAGATGTCAAAATCCTGTGCAGGCCAGATCCCATTGGTTGTAAATCCAAGGGACTGTCCCAGTCAAATAGGATTTTGTTATTTATGATGGGACTTGGAATGAGTGAGCATTTGGGGCCTGGGAAAGTGCATGTACTGCTGGAAGTGATTTCATTATAATGAAATCTGTCCTGTAATCTCAATGAATTTTGGCTTGGGATCAGGTTATCCATCCCCTCCACAAACCTCTAATAGTTACGAGATTTCTTTAACATCTGTGTTTCTAGAAGCTAAAAGATACCTAGTCAGTTAGGCTTGCACCTTTCTGGGTCTACCCTATGCACAAGGTCCTGTCATTTTTCCAGAGCTGTACCAGTGACATTCATTGCATTTTCATCTGTCATTGCTGTTCCATTCCCCTGTACCAGACCTTCCTGGGATCCCAGCTTCTGTCTGGAATTACACTAGGTTTGGGCTTGATTTACAATCCTTTCTCCTTGCTGATTATCATTGTGCCCCTGTCTTTCTTGGGAATTCTTCCTGTATCCTACATCTTCCTGCTTTCCCCTCACCCCCATGTGCTTGGAGTACTCTGACTTCTTGTTCTCTCACAGGGAATAATTTAGGCAGTAATTATTTAAACATTATAAATAAAATAAATAATCAAATAAGCAAAGCTAAAATTATAAACTAAAATAGGGTTTCTCAGGACTCAGGGCAAATTGATGTTAGTACTACTCTCCCTAGCAACTACAGGTTGGAGCAGAGGCAGTGATCACAATTAGAGGCCTGAGGGAATACATGCTTCAAATACTTGGAGCAGATATTCCTTCTCTGTGCCTCTTTCCTGGCCCTGGACCTTCCTGTTATTTCCAACTGGGAAGCGCTATGGGTGGCAGGCCCAGGCTGGAACCCTGTTGGTTAGACAGAAGGCATAGGCAAACGTGACCTAGGTCAAGTTTCCAACTATTGGACTGTTCCCCAAGTCATTTGAGAAAAAATGTTTTGCCTGATCCTTATACCCCAGAGTACAAATGCTGCTTTCAGAACACCTGATGACTCTGAAGTGTGTGAATGTGACCTTTGTTTGGGTCATGAAATTGCACTTAAACCCATGTGGATGGAAGGCAATATCCATTGAGTGTCATTAAAACCATGAATATTCATTAGATCCCTCATCATGATGATGATTAATACCATTAAAGCTATAAATGTCTGAACTCCTTTATGGACAATTGAGCTTGACAGTGGTTTATTTTTATTTTGTCTATATGAGAAATTAATTTGACATGATAGTTAACATCAGTATTGACTTTTCTTGAAATCTGTTTACCAGACTACAAATTTTATCTACCAAATAAGAGCTTATAGGTATTTAGCTTAGATCTTATCCTTATTTTATTGATAGACATTCTTTAGTCAGAGAAACATGCCCAMCCATACACGTTGTACTCACCCTGATATAGACTTAGTCAAACTAGTGCATATTCAGGAGGTAGGGGCTGCTAGAGGAAGAGCATGGGGTTCCAGAAGACTCAGCTTATCTCTCAGCATCTTGGTAGTATGACCTTGGGCAAATCACTTACAAGCTCTTAAGTTTTACAAAACAGGAATAGTTCTATCTCTTTTACTAGTGTACTGCGATGATTAGTAGTACTGGGTTCATAACTAGTCTAAATACTATCAAGTGCTTCAAAAATATAAATAATACATATCAATATGTATTTATATCATTTAAATAATTATAAAAATTATACTTTTATTTCATTTTCTTCTAGAATTTTGATTTGGCATTGAACTTTATTCATTGTACATTAAAATGGGTATTCAGTTTAGGAAACAAAATAAAGCTTCATTTAAGACACAGAAATGGGTATAGAATAAGATGTATTTTWTATTTCTTGTTTTCTTTTAGGCCAACCGAGCAGTAAGTACCATTGGATGGGTGACAGCTGCTGTTGGTGCCTTCTCATTCCTGGGCTTGTTTTCAAAAAGACAAAGAGCAAAATACTATTAACAATTTATTGAAGAGATATTGGAACTGAAGGAATTTGTGAGGAGGAAAATAAATTTTAAAAAAATCCTGGAATGAATACTTACTTTCAACGCATCATTATTGTTCCAAATTCTGATGATGGATAGCAGGCTCTTTAACAAATTGCTTTCTGATATTATCTTATCATTGAGCCAAGGAAATTTCTTTCCCTACTAGCATAGATTTGCTGTGGCAGTTGGAACAAAAAGCTGTAGCCTCTGAGTGAGCCAGCAGAGGATCTTAAGAAAATCACATCACATTTTATCTTCTACTGTAAATATTGTTTTCCATTTCCTTAAGGGTGGCTATTTTGCCAGAGGGATGGAGAACCATTTCCAGGGGAAAGTAAAGTTAGAACCCCAAATTGTTAGGTTGACATGTTAATTCATATTCCTTTTCTTGTGAGAAAAGAAACTGGGAAATTCTGGTTTGGCAGCTTGAGCACCTGTGAGTGACAAGCCTTTTGAGGGTGTGCCTCCAACTCCCACACTCTGTAGGTGTGGGCGGGTGGGAAGAGCACGGGAGGAGCTCTTCACTTCCCAACTTCAGATCCAGTGATTTCTCTGGAATTCACTTGCTTGTCAAGAGCACATGACAATCCATGAGTGACATGGGCTGCTATTTCTACAGTTACATTTTGAATGTTTCAGGGGTTTGACATTTGAACCTTGGCAAGAGAGCATCAAACGTTGGTTTAAAGTGCCAAAATTAGGAAACAATATCTTGTCCTGCTTTTTAAGGTTTGTACTATAAGCCAAGGAGTGTCATGATTTTATTCTTACATTTTATTGGTTAGCTGTTGAATTTAAATTTATTACCATTTGAGTAGACTTCTTCATTACTGCAGGTAAGGAAAGGTGAGGCATAGGTCTTTCTAAGATGATAGTGGACACTATAACTTATCCCATAAACCACATTGCCTCTTTACCTCCTTATTCCATCCTTAAAAGCATGGCATTAGATAAAGTAGATAAAAGACAGTGAAAGTCTTGGACCTATTACACTGATTTAGATGTTACCTCATGTCCAGAAATACAGTACAAGCTAATCACAGGCTTAAGAGTAATGTCAACAGCAGGGGTTGTGCACTGCAGTCCTGGCCACAGACATCTAATCTCTCTTCCCTCCTTTTTCCTATGTAACCCTTTGTTTCTCATGGCACTGGCTCTGTCTCCAGACAACCCCCAAACTTTCTTCCCCCACTGATCATCTGAGAAGGTATGTGTGTCTTCCACCAGGTACAAGATCCTTTTTTTTTTTATAATTTTTTCCTTCTCTTTTTTTTTAAAAGAAAGAGTGAGAGAGGAGAGAGAGAGAGAGAGAGAGAGAATTTTTAATATTTATTTATTTATTTTTAGTTGGCGGACACAACATCTTTGTTGGTATGCGGTGCTGAGGATCGAACCCGGGCTGCACGCATGCCAGGCGAGCGCGCTACCACTTGAGCCACATCCCCAGCCCCCCCCCTTTTTTTTTGATGGTGGTTTTGGGGATTGAACCAGGGCCTCATTCATGTGAGGCAAGCACTTTACCATTGATCTATACACAAAGCCTTTCTTATTTTGACAGTGTCTCACTACATTGTTCACACTTGCCTTGAATTTGTGATCCTCCTGCCTCAGATTCCCCAGTAGCTGGGATTATAGGTGTGTGCCACCATGCTAAGTCCTTTAATTTTTATTCTAAATTCAGGTTTCTGCTTCTTTATGCCCTACTTCCAAGAAATAGTCAATGAATGGAAGCTTTCTAGAGTTACTGAATTAAGGTGAGACTGGCAGCAGCTKGTTACCTTTCCCCATTTAAGGCAATTGAGAGAGAAAATTCAAATTACTAAAATTCATGATGAAAAAGGAAATATCACAATGGACACTACTGAAATAAGAAGATATTTAGAAACTATTTTGAAATTTTATACTCCAGTAAAATGGAAAATCTCAAAGACATTGACAAATTTCTAGAGACATATACTCTACCCAAACTAAATCAGGAGGGCACACACAATTTWAACAGATCAATTTCAAACAATGAAATAGAAGATGCCATCAAAAGCCTACCAACAAAGAAAAGACTAGGACCAGAAGGATTCTTGGCCGAGGTCTAYGAGACCCTCAAAGAAGAATTAACACCAATACCCCTCAAATTATTTCATGAAATAGAAAAGAAGGGAACTCTTCCAAACTCATTCTATGAGGCTAGTATCATCCTAATACCAAAACCAGGCAAAGACACATCAAGGAAAGAAAACTTGAGACTAAGATCCCTGATAAACAGACATAAAAATTCTCAATAAAATTCTGGCAAATTAAATACAAAAACATTAAAAAGATAGTGCACCATAATCAAATGGGGCTTATCCCAGGGTTGAAAGGTTGATTTGACATCAACGTAACTCATCACATCAGTAGATTTAAAGACATGAACCATTTGATCACCTCAATAGATACAGAAAAAGCATTTGACGAATAGATGTTCAAAACACAGGGCCAATCTTAACCCAAGGAAGGGAACCTGGCTTTTGCAGAATTACAACATTGGTGAGTGAGAAAGGATGGAGTTAATTTCCTGAGGGCCAAAATTCAAATCTTTCTAGAGCACCCTGGAGGTCTCTGCTCCAAAAGAGAGTCCTAGCTGTGCAGAATAAAGCCACAAATGCACTTTTGAATTCATGGATTGATAATGTCAAAGGTGTCAGTGTTCCTTCCCCTTAGAAGTTAGCTCACAGAATTGATCATGGTTTCCCCATAAAAAGGTCCCTTCTTGGGGACAAGCCACCTGAGGCTACCTCAGGTCATCAAGGCCATCATTTGCTGTGTCATCATGCTTATCATGCTTTGATCAAACTTTTTCCCCCCAACATAATTAAACCTTCCTGTGAACGTATTTTTGGCAGTCAGTTATGGAGTTTAATTTTTCATGTTCCAAAAAAGAAATGTGAAATAAGGATCACCACCCACCAGATCCCTAATAGATTGTTAGTAAAAAAAACAGACTGTACTTGTATTGAATCAGGATTTTTAAAAAAATATGTTTATGCTCTCTAAATGTTATACTGTTATCAATTGAATCTTTTCATTCTAAAAGTCAAAATACTAAACATAGATGTCAACTCAAGGAACCCGGGCTACCATATATTTAGGTTAACGTTACATTTCCTAATCATAAGCTAAAATCTCTTTTCAAAAAATATTTGTATGTTGTTGTTAGGCAATAAATTAGACACATTTTGAAAATGATCTCTCTCCAAAGAGCTGTTAATAGGAGGAAAAAACAACAACAACAAAATGTTGAGTTTATTTTTATGTAAGAAGGTTTATTTGTGCTACTGGTTGAGTAACATAGTTTATAATGCTATTTACAGGAGGAAATTGCTAAAATATTGTAAAAAAAATTGTCAGTCCTAAAGATTGCAGATTGTAAACTCAGGGCTATTTCATATTGAATCCATATATCATGATATTAGGCACACACTTGACAATTATGAGATGGAACTGGTTTTAGTTAACCAGCAATTAGCTTTGCCTATGGTCTGTTGAAAATCTGTTCAGTTGGCAAAATTAGATTTATTATTCAAAGGAAAACCTAGGAGGTTATTTCAAATATTCACCAGAAATAAACTTCTTCCTCTGAAAAATATACATTTTATATATGCATATTTATCTATGTATGTGTATATAAGTAGATAGAGCGAAGGATATATTTGTAAAGAATGTTCCCTTCTTGTCTTTCATATGCACTTGGAATGATTTATATAATTAAAAGATGAAGTAGAGCATAAGGTCATCTGAAAGCCAGAGGATTTTCATCGGTTCCTTTCTTAGGGTTGTTTATAAGACAAGTGATGTTGAATTTGACCTGTCTTTTTTTTTTTTTTTTTTTCACCTAGAACTTACTTGAAGTTTTGGTGTGTCAGTAATAAAGAGTAAATCAAAGCACCAGGCTTTCTGAGGTGAAAGGCACATTTTAACAGCCTTCCATTATTTTGGGGATCTACCATGGACCTTCTAGCTTAATACTTTGGGAATTGTCAAACTTTGGTGGAGTTTGCCTAGGTATTAGCTATGCCTATGCTAAGATTATATGCAATTAACACAAATCTCTGCCGTTCTCCACTTCCACATGATTCTAGCTTACTACATAGTAGGGTTGAATTTTATGAAGTAAATGTTAATACTTATTTCTATTAAAACCATACAGTGAAGCAAAAGGGAGGAATTTAGTTATCTTGTAAAAAGATATGTACATATATATATATATATATACAAATGAATGTAAGATTTAAAGAAACTTGTGTGATAATTAACATATTGGTAAAACTTTCAAAGACCAAATGTTTCCTTAGCTTTTCTTTATTCTATTGATGTTCATACTTCTAATTTTATTATCCTAAGAGCTGTGCATTTTAAACAATACAATATGAATAAAGCATATTAAAATGATAATCCAAGAAATGCATTTTTTCTCCCAATAGGAAAGGATATAGTCAAAATAGATAAATTCAAGGTCCTCTGTTGCAAGGCTAGGTGCACTGAGAAATGTGCTTCAGATGATCAGATGGACAGCAAAAAGAAAAGGGGACATTCTTTTCACCTTCCACATGTTTTAGTTTGGAGGAGGGTGATGCTGCTCAATGTGTATAACAATTCCAATTAGAGTCTGGTCCAAAAATGCTGTTCTTTGATTTGGTCCCCTGATTTGAGTTTTTCTTTGGGGACCAGTTCATGGTTTTCATAGCCTTTGTTGATGTAGAATCCATTTTTACCATCACTTGCATAATCCGTCCTATTTATGGGGGGCCAGGTAGAGTCTTCTGCCAGCTTTTTTTGCCAGGTCCTATATTGACTTTTAGAGTAGAATCCAAATACTTTCTTGATCAACAGCCAGAACGCTCGATTCTGAAGGATGGCATCCTGGAAAATTAGATGGGAAAAACAGTCAAGTCACTGTGCAGTGTCTGTGCAGCCAGGCAGCTCCCCACACTTCCCCCGGGTTGTGCTCCTGGCTGCTGCTGCTGCTTCTCCTCCCTGAGGTCCCCTTATTCTTCCTTTAAGAAGTAAATGGTTGCTTCTGCTCACAGTTACCTGTCGAAAGCATATGGCCTTTCACCTATCCAGATTTTCTGGTTAAATCCTGGCTAGTGACTCACT